GTTGCTGTGTTATCTTTCACCCTCCAATGTTCTTAGGAAGTCTGATGCTAATCTAATGACTGTTGTTTTTTCTCAGTTTCTGGTTTTCAAATTCTTGCTAGGTACTGGACTTCCTAGAACATGCCTCAAAGTCCTTACCTCACTCTCTTGCTCTCGTTCTCACTCTTGCTGTCTTGCTTTATTTTTCTCTAATTTTTTGTCTTTGCTGTTTCACTCAGTTTTCTGGGGAAATTCTTGAATTTTCTCTTTAATATTCATTTGAAACTTGAACTTAAATAATCATACTTTTTGTTGTACTAGAGATTGACTCTGGGGCCTTGTGCATGCTAGAAAAGAACTCTACCACTGAGCTACATATCCAGTCCAATAGTCATATTTAAATTTCCAAGAATTCCTTTTAGTCTCTGATTGCTCTTTCTATATAATGCTCTGTTCTTATTTATGGATACCATATTTTCCCTTAGTTATCTGAATTTACTAATTAAATTAATTTTTTCATATATAGCCTAGGATTACAAATCCTTTCTTAATATTTTATTTATTATTTTTATGTGTATGATTTATTGCCTGCATGTGTGTAAGTGCACCTGTGTTGTGCAATGCCTATAGAGGTCAGAAGATGGCCTCAAATCCTCTGGAACTGGAGTTACAGACAGTTGTTAGCCCACCATGTGGATGCTTGGAATTGAACCCGGATCCTCTGCAAGAGCAATCAGTGTGCTTAACTGCTAAGCCATCACTCCAGCCCCATACAAATCCTTTTTAAAAAATGTTTTCAGTAGTGGGCATTGAAGCCAGTATCTTGTACATGCTAGACAAGAGCTCTACCACTGAGCACCAAGTCTTTTATGTTTGTTTGTCTTGACTTTTTCCTGTGAGGACTTTCTTCCTATTTCCTTTTCTTTTTGGTGTTTTAATACAGGGTCTAATACTATAGCCCTGGCTAACCTGGAACTCTCTATGTAGCCTAGGCTAGCCTCAAACTTGCAGTGATCTTTCTGCATCTCAGCCTTTCTGGTTCAAGGATTACAGGTCTGAACCACCATACCCAGATCTTTCTTCCAACTTCTGACAATACTCAGTAATTATTTAATTTAATAAAGAAGAGCTGAAAAGCTATTGTGGATTTAATGTTTTGTTGGGTAAATAGATCCGTTTTCTTGCTCTGACTGCCCTCTGTGTGAGGCAGAGAGTGGAGGATCAGAGATCCTAGACCCTACAGGCAAGAATAAGGACGGAATAAAGAAGAAATTACTTAGGAGTTCTCAGCACTAATGTTGGAGGCCTTGGCTCTCTGCAGATGTCATTCAAGTTCTTTAGAGATGTTTTCTAGGTAACTGTGCCAACTCTAGTGCATCTGTGTGCTGGGGGAAAGAGGAATTCCAACTAGAACCATCCTTCTTCACTGGGGCCTTCAGTGAATCTCTGTCTTTTATTTCATTGCCTTCCACAACTTGTTTGCAGATTTAGATCACTGCAAAATGTCCTCTACCTTTTCTGCATCTGCCTTGTCAAATATTTTCAGCTAGATTCTCCCACCTACCTTACTTCTCAAGAATACCCATTTCATTCTGTTCTTTGTGTGCCTGTGCATGTTTGTGTGTATGCAGATGCGCATGTGTGTATGAATGCATGTGTATGTGTGTGTATGTGCAGGTGGGAGGACAACCTCCGGTGTTGTTTCTCAGCAGCCATCCACCATGTTTTGGAGATGGAGTCTCTCACTGGCTTGAAACTTGCCAAGTAGGCTAGGCTGGCTGGCCAGTGAGCCCTAGGAATCTGCCTGTCTCTGGTTCCCTAGTGCTAGAATTACAAACACACAGCATCATGCCAGCTTTTTTTAAAAATGTAGATTCAGAGGCTCAAAATCAGTTCTCACACTTGCTTGGCAAGCACTTTAGTGATTGAACTATTGCCCCATGTGCATTCTAAACAAGTTGTTGACATTTGTTCATTGATGACCATCTCCCCTCCTCACCAAATTTTCTTTACTCCTTTCTGTTCTTTGGCAAGTTTTCATTTGCTAGTCTTTTAAAATTATTTATTTACTTTGATTTTTTACATGTCTGAACGTTTTGCCTGCATGTAAGCGCACCCCTGCATGTAATGCTCGAGGAGGCCAGAAGAGGGCGTCGAGTCCCTTGGAACTGGAGTTCTGGAAGGTTGTTAGCCACCAGAACTGTAGGTGCTGAGAACTGAACCTGTGCAAGGGTCCTCTGCAACGGCAGCCAGAGCTCTTAACTGCTGAGCCATCTCTTCAGCTCATCTTTTCTTTTTTTAAGTGACATTTTAATTAGTGTGTGTGTGTGTGTGTGTGTGTATGTGTGCACTCATGTGTGTTATATTCAGTTTATTTGTCTAGAATTTTCACATTTGTTTCCATACCCGGTGTCATATACTTCGCAGTGTATTATAGTTGTTATATTATTTTAATTAAATAAATGCAGAGAAAATTCTTACTTTTCCATGTACGATTGAACCTGCCTATTAAACATTTGATAGAATTCATCTGGAAAATCTCTGGTCTGTTTTTATGTGTAAGTTTTTTTTTTTTTTTTTTTTTTTTTGGTCTTTTTGAGACAGAGTCTCCCTGTAGCCCCAGCTGTCCTGGAACTCACTATGTAGACCAGGCTGGCTTTGAACTCACAGAGATCTGCCTGCCTCTGCCTCCCAAGTGCTGGGATTAAAGGCGTGCGCCACCACACCCGGCATATGTGTAAGTTTTTAAACATGTAATTTCTTTGAGGTTATAATGTCTATCCAGACCTTTTGTTTCTAGTCAGTTTTGATAGCTGTACTTTTCTAGAACTTTACTCATTTTGCTTATGTTTTCAAGTTTACTCACAGTTGTACATAAATTTCTTTTTAAAAATCTCTACCAGGAGCAGGAGAGATGGCTCAATGGCTAAGAGCACTTGCTGGGCAAACATGAACACTTGAGTTCAGGTCCCCAATACCCACATTTAAAAGTCAAGAGTGGCTGCCCATGAACCTCTAACCCCAGTGCTATGGGGGGCAAAAACAGGGGGGCTTGTTGGGGCTTGCTGGCTGACTACCTCCAGGTTGAGAGAACAATCCTCTCTCCAAGGAACAAGCAGACAGTGATAGAGGAGGACCTCCTACATCCTCCTCAGGCCTCTGCACATGTGAATACCTGCATGTACTCCCCCCATGTGCATAAAACACACACACACACACACACACACACACCATCTCTACCACTCTGTGGTTACTCACTTTTTACTCCCAGTGTAAGTTATTCATCTTTTTATCTTTATTCAGTTTGAGTTGGCTTTTCAAAGAACCAGCTTTTGATCTCCTCAATCCTATCATTTGTTTCTGCTTCATTAATGTCTGTTGCTGTCTGCTTCAGCTAATGTTCATGCCCCCACTTGCTCAATGTCCCCACTTGTACACAATGAGAGACGGCACCTCCCTCAAGCGTAGTATGGCTACAAGAGACTTGTTGATGTACACCTCTGAGAAAGTGCTTTTCCTCCCGTTTTCCCCACTGTAGTGAAAACTACTCACTCCCGTGATCCTGCCCTAAACTCACCCATTGTGTTTCTTTTTTCTTCTCTGATACCCAATTGTTTTGGTTCTATTTTGAATTCTTGAATATCACAACTTCTCAGAACCCTACTGCTACTCTCTAGTTAAAGCCCCCCTCCCTCCACCCCACTTTTTCTCTCCCCTCAGTGGTTGCCAGGACCTCTGAACTGGCCTCTTGGTTTTTGTGTCCACCATGGCCAATTCTCCATGCTCCACCTGCAACTTAGATTTCATGATGTCAGCTAGTCACTTGAAATCTTTCAAGGGCTTCTCATCTCAAAATAACCTCCTAGCTCTCCTGGTGACCCAGGCTACCTGTCCTACCACTTTCCAGGTAAGTTGGCTTTTTGCTATGTCAGGCATAGTCCTTCCTCAGGACTGTTTGAACTTGCCTAGAATGTTTTCCCTCATTATCTACATGAGATGAAGGCAACAGCCAGTGGGTATTTAAATAGCAGTTCTTTCACTTTTGCCTTATCTATCTCAAAGCTCTTATCTCTATGTACTATTTTAAGCTCTACTTATTTGTATGTTTATTATGACTCTTCCCTCCAAGGAAGTTTGCTGTCTTGGTTAGTATTGGACAGTGCCTGGTCAATAAATGAAGGGAGGCAGGAGCCAAATTTGAATGAGGAGCTCTGGGTGGATTGGATGATGAGTAGCGTCAGGTGTAAGGCTGCCTTAACAAAAACTTCTTCCCGAAACCGCATTAGGTAAATCTTTTCCCACACTCTTAAATCCAGAATTGCTGGATCTCAGATGCCAAATTACTTCTTCCAAGCAGAGCTGCTGCTTCCTTTGGACTGAGTGCCCGTTTAAATACTTCCACTAAACCATCTGCTTCAACAGTGACAAGTCTCACGTGGCCTTAGAATGCACCATCTTCCCACAATAGAGTTTACAAAGACCAGGGTTTGATTTGTTTATTCTCGGCCCTAGGAGAGAGTGGCACCTGGCAGTTGAGTGTCATAATGCAATGGGTAGGCCTCTTAAAAACGAGTCCCTTAGCTTGGAACAACGTCAGGTTCCAGGGCTGCCAACTTTGCTGCTTCTACTGAAAGTGATACTACGAAAATACTGGTGCTAGGAGACTCGGCAGGATAACGCTAACAGGAGTCCAAAGCCTAGGTCTTCTTTTGCCCCAGCATTCACAAGGGCCCATTAATTCTTAGTATTCAAATTCTGTCCACTACACCAGCCCCTGCGAGGCCCAGCCACCTCTTTTCCCCAAATGACAGCAGACAGCCACCAATCCGCTGCTGGATGGGGGCCCGCCTCCTTTCCCTGGCTGAAACAGACAAGAACTCCTGCCAATTGAAGGCGTCACCGGGAAGGCTCCGCCCTGGCCTGGGTCCCGTAGCCAATGGAGGACAGGCTTGCCGAGGCGCCGGAGGTGGGGCGCGGGCGCGCAGGTGCAGCAGCGCGCAGGCAGGCCGGGAGGGCGGGGCGCGACGTCGGCCGTGCGGGGTCCCGGCGTCGGTGGCGCGCGCGCTCCCTCCTCTCGGAGAGAGGGCTGTGGTAAAAGCCGTCCGGAAAATGGCCGCCGCCGCCGCCGCCGCGCCGAGCGGAGGAGGAGGAGGAGGCGAGGAGGAAAGACTGTGAGTGGGACCGCCGAGGCCGCGGGCGGGGACCCTTGCCGGAGGGCGGGGGGTAGGGGCGGGACGTGGCGCGGGAGGGGCCCGCGGGGTCGGGCAACACGGCTGGCGGATGGCGTCCCTCCTCTCTACCCTCCCCCTCCCTCTGCTGCCGGTGGCGGCTCTCGACTGGTCACCCGCAGTGGCGGATGACGGTCTTCGGCGAGATCTTCTTGGAGCCACCTTCGAATGACGCCCTCCTGTCGCCCGCCCCATCTGTGCGCATCTCGGGCCTGGCCGCGCGAGCGCCCTTGTCGTCCGGCCTTGGCCTGTCGGGGCTGCGCGCGCTCCTGCCCTTCTTGGGGGCCTCGGGCCCCGGCGCCGTCGCGCGCCCGCGGCCCCGGCCTCTCCCTGGATCGCGCTCTCCCCTCTCCCTCCCTCGCGCGCCCCCTCTCCCGTTACTCGGGGCACCCCCACTGGCGCGCGTGCGCAGTCCGTCTCCCATCGGGAGAGTGCGCCACAAGGGCTTCCGAGCTCTTACCCCCATCTCCGGGCTTTGCCTCCCTCTCCTTCTCGCCTATTGCGTGACTTCTTTCCCCCACTGCGAACGAGTCGGTCAAGCAGCTCCATTCCCCATTTGGCAGGAACAAGTAGGTGGGAATTATTGTCCACCCACAAAAAAGACTAGACATTGTGTTCCTGGGTCCCACAACTCTATGATCATAAAGAGATGGTTATAGTTCTCATCAGGAACGGTGGGCAGGGGACTGTGCGTTCCTCGGCACCTGAGGCTTTTCCGTGAGAGCATGCCCACAGGGTGCTCTTGATTCTTTGTTGGGGGGGGGGAGCGGGATGCTGTGGCTTCGGAATATGAGCGCCTTCCTCCCATCCCCCCCCCCCCCCCCCCGCCGGCGATCATCCAGTTACATAAGTGCAGTGGGACATTGTATGTAACGGCTCTCATCGTCCTGGAGCGCTCAAGATTACCAGTACCCGATGGGGCAAGTTCATCGCATCGCTGACACTCCTGCCGATTATCTCTCAAAGTACATTCTGTTTTTAGTTCACTGTGACTCAATCACTTAAACTAAAATACAGGTGACTTATGTGACAGTGACAATATTTCTGAGGTTTTGTACTGAACGTTTAAAGTCATCATGTAGTCTAAAAAAAGTCTCACAAGGGAGACCCTATATGGCACTGCGGATTATGGACACCCCCACCGGGGGGGGGGGAGGCAGAGCTTGGGATGGAATACCTCTGGGCTGGTTGCTTGTTCTGCGTTTGGGTGTGGGTTGGTCACAGCAGAAACGGACTCTACCACAACATTCATATTCCTGACTCATGGTCAGACAGATAATGTGCTCCTGGTTATTTTTCCAGGAACTCCAATGGGCTCTGCTGAGCTATATGCACATTGTCTCCAGTGTTTGGTATCATTACGTCAAACAGTAGGATACAGTACAAGGGGTGGTTGGTGATCATGAAACCAAATCCAGTACTGACTTGACACGTTGTAGGACTGTCACATGTTCTAGGTATGTTGTTATACTATATAAATGAAGCCTATTTGGACCTGAGTAGTAAGATTGCACTAATAGGCAGTTACTGCTGTAGAGGAGAATTTTGGGTTCTGTGGCTGGAATTGGCGTGCGAATTGCAGCAGTTTCACTAAATAACGTGTTTAAGCTGACTCTTGGGTCCTTTGAAATATGTCTGGTCTCTATAAAAAGATAAACTCTGGATTTTTAGGTCTTTTGGGAATATCCACCAGGGATTTGGAGAAATGTGCCTAATTATGGACGGTGGGGTGTTTCTACTTCAGATCCTAGTCAGGAAGCCTAAGAAGCACTTGTTCTTGCCTAGGTAAGTCAGAACCTTAAAGACTCAATCAGTCTAGTAGAAGCCAGGTGCTTAAAACAAGTTACCACAGATGATCCATTCATGACCAGTGAGCCGGGCAGCTGATGATCAGAGTACATTCATTTTCTCACGAGAGAGAGAGAGAGAGAGACAGAGAGACAGAGAGAGAGACAGAGACAGAGAGACAGAGACACACACAGGCCTTGCTTGACAGGGACCAAGGTTTGTATATGTATATCTGAGCCTGATACGTGACAAGTTGGGGTTCTCTACTCTGGTGTTCCTATTGGTAGTGTAAATCTCCTCACGTGTCCCTCCACTTTAGCTGTTGGTTATACGTCTAGCTCTTTAAACAGCTGAGGCAGCTTTGAGAATACAGTTTCTTTTCAAAGGTACCTGGTGGCATCTGAAGTCAATGTGTCCTAACAGTTTGATTAGAAACTGTATGGCTTTCTTGCTAGTATTGGTCTATCACATATTCCTACTTCCTATCCTTGGCAATTTGCCTTGAATAGTTTAGGTGCAGTCTCAGGTCTTTGCTTCACCTACTTAGAAAACATCATGCAGTTGGTTGTACTCAGAGAATTTTTAAAATTTCTTTTGTTACTGAACTGGGGATCAAACCCATGACTTCCATTTGCTCCCCCACTGCATCCCCAGCCCTCTACCCTGTCTTTTGTGTTGTTTGAATCCTGAGGTATGTCTGGGATAACATACAGACCACAAACTAGTTGAAGGGTTTGATACATTTTTGCATTCTGTGCTTATATGTTAGTATTTTCTAGATAGAGTTGTTTCCTCTACAGGCCTGATCTGCCTCTGTGAGACGTAATCTAGTGGGGCAGGGAGGCAAGCTGTGGAGTTTGAAAAAAATGAGCTATAGTCATATTGTGCCAGTCCCCTCACCCCACTTGAACACTCCTGAGAAGTTTGATTCTTTAACCTAGAATAAAAGAACAGCAGTGGTAATATTGTTAGTTTCTTACTCTAATGTACCTGTCTAGAACTGTTTGCAGGATAAACGATGTGTCCTAAAACCCATAATCTTTTCTAAAGGCCACTATCCATGGCACTCTTCTAATTGACTTAGAGCAATTTGTCACCAGGTAGTTTGAGTTATCTCTGGGTGGACAGAATTGTGGACAGTGAGTGACATTCGTAGTCACAGTGTTTTCAGCACAGTCCTGACTGGAGAATTCAGGGAGTATGGCACAACACCTCCTCCTTTTCATCACCTTCTGCTCTGCTGCCAGCCCTGCAAACCAGTCCATGTGGCTGACAGAAACAATCTTTTTGTTGGGTAGAGAACATTATTGTCCTTTCAAGGGAAGGACCTGTCCTCAGCTCCATCAGAGCTTTTCGTGTTCATTCTGCTGTTATTTAGTCAGAGCATTGCACTTTGCCATCATCTGGGGGAGGACCAGTATAAATGTCTCCCTCCTCCGAGGCTTGCTTGTGTAGAAGACATACTCTTCTGCTCTCCACAGTTCTCTTCTGCCTTTCTCTTCCAAGGAACTTTGTCCTTTTGGAAGTTTGGTTTGTACGTTATGGCTTAAATGCTTGGTTCGATCACTATCATGGTAGATGCAGTGTGTGGGGTGACTGAGTGGGAGCAGGAACTTGGAAGCAGGCAGACATGCCCACTCCTTTTAAAGGGGGCAGTGTGGCCAGAGTGAAGCCTTGGCTTTCTACCACCTTCACGGCACACTCCATCGGGTGTGCTGGCATGTGGCTGTGTGCCTACCATAGTGTAGCTTTTTTGCAGGTACTACAGATGTCTGGGCTCTTATTGCCAAGCCTTATTAAGAGCATGCTTGTCTTCCTTTCCCGAGACTTGGGGGTATTACAACAGGAATCTCTTTTATTGGATTTTAACTGACCGTACTCATTTTTCGGCTTTTTTTTTTTTCCATGAAATTCTGAGTTAGAAGTCTCAGACAGTGAGAACTAGAAGGAAACTCTGGCGAAACGGGGCTGAGGAGATAGCTCAGTGATAGAGTATTTGTTTCAAATGTGCAAAGCGTTGATTTCAGTCCTAGCACTACAAATACTAACACAGTAACATTGCCTATAAATAAATAAAACAACTGTGGTCTTCAGAAGTTGTGACTTTTCAGGGCCTCATAAACAAAATACTGGTTTGATTTTTATGCTATAGGTAGGTATCCAAGAAATATTTACTTTGGGATTTTAAAGCATTCTAAGACTTAGCTCTTTGATTTAAGGAAATTAAAGGAATTAAGGGGTTTCGTTGAGCCTTAAAAACTGATTGCAGGCACCATCCAGGGAACTGGCCAACAGCTGCAAAGGACTTGCTTGCTGTTGCCCTTCCTCTGGATTTGACTCCATGAATAGCATCGTGCAATAGTCTCTAAGTCATATACTGTAAGCTTGTCCTTTAGTTTAAAGGTAAAGGTACTATTGTTAGGCCAGCCAAGTATCAGAAATTAGCTAATATGGAACAGGAGCAGTTTAGGTTTTAACAAGGAGATGATGGTTATCTTCTGGCAACAGTCCTAGATGAACATATGTTCAAAAGCAAGAGGCTGGAGCAGGAAGATCTTGAGTTCGAGGTCAGCCTGGACTACATAGCAAGACTGTCTCAAAAGACAACAAAGCAAAAGAACTATCAAACTAACAAGCTCAGTTTATTGGATGTTGAGATTTGCTGATCTTAGAGGCTTAAAGTAATCAGAAATAGACTTGTGTATTTTGGATGATGGCTTTGGATCTCCCAGGGTAGTTGGGCTTTGATTTCAAGGTGAAAGTCCCTTTCTGTGATGTTATAGCAGATCCTTCCAATTTGAACTGTTTGAAGCAGAAGGGAGACTTTGCTTCTGGATTTCACAGGCTCTCTGTGAGATGATGTTTTGATGTCACATGTCCTCTTGAACATATAGTCTGTCCTTGACTTTTTTTATGTAACATGGTAGAAGAAATACTTGCCAGAAATCAGTACTTGTGGTGTGCATTATTATAGTGTCAGAGTGTCCCCTGGAGGTGTCAAGACCTCTGATAGTGCTGATTCCAACAAGGATAAATGCTGCTTTTATTGAGCATTGTGTGGTATGTGTCAGTAATTTGCAGTTTGTTCTTTGCTTCTAACTATGTGAGCTGGGAAGTAACATAGTACTTTGTCTGTGTTCATCTTCAAAATGTCCCAAAAAGCCCTGGGAATAAGGTCGTGCAGCTCAATGGGGACTTTCAACTTACGATTTTCTTTGTTTTAGGCTCCATAAAAATACAGACTCACCAGTTCCTGCTTTGATGTGACATGTGACTCCCCAGAATACACCTTGCTTCTGTAGACCAGCTCCAACAGGATTCCATGGTAGCTGGGATGTTAGGGCTCAGGTAAGTAACCTTCCTTTTTTTTTTTTTAGTATATGTCCTGGTTTGGCCATCTGTTTTTAAAAAAATAAGAATAAAAGGAAAAAAAGATATCTACTCTTGGACAGTATAAAAGTACCCCAAAGACTAAAAACATAACAGTGCCAAACTGTGCCATATAATAAAAAAAAGTCACTTCCCTGAGCCCTGAAAGGTCAGTTTGGGTAGAGTTACTTGGTAGCCACAAGGTGATATGGGGGCGGGCGTCAGATTAGAGCTGGAACTGGTGATCTGCAGCTTCAGTTCACCTTGAAGCAGGCGAGCCTTGTCCTGAGCTCTTCACCTGTGCTGCTGCTGGTACCTAGTGGTCTTCAGCATGATGCTTTCTTTGCTTCGCTTTGGGCTAAATGACTTGCTGGTCGATGTTGGTGAACAGTAGTAATACCTTTTCAGATACCGGAACTGTGGTCCCCTAGAAGGGCACCCTTCTTAAAGTATCACAGAACAGTGGAGCACAGGGCTAATGGTGTATGCTTGCTGGACTCCTCCAGTAGAAGCTAAGAGAGCACCCAGACACATGTATGGCTCTTGGCATTCTAGAGCAGAAAGAGCATTTTTCGAAAGGCTGGAGACCCAAGTTCTTGTAGCCCTAACATTTAGGTGCCATATCTGCTGCACTTTGGACTACTGTGGTACCATTGTGTGGAATTTAGTTTTGTTGAAGAAACTATTCCTTAATTTCTCATCCTTTATCAAACTTGAACCTGTCAAGTTTTTTAAATTCATGTTCATTCTACATTTAATATTTTGATGCCTTGATTTCTGTGTGGTATACTATTCTAGTTGAATTTTCTCATTCTTTTCGTACAAAAACTGTGAAGGTTCACATATCCTGCGTTGTGATTCTAGCCTCCCCTTGCCAAGTAGCATTTTGTTGTGTCTCTCTAAGTGATTTGTTAAACCTCATGAAGTTATATATGAAAAACAAATAGCCCATTTGGGAATCATCTGAGGGAGCAAGCTTTGGGTGGAAGAGAATAGAAAGTAGAGGAGGAAATGAAGAGCATGACCCTGTCTCCAAGTCCCAGATTGGATTCTGCTCCTGATCCTGTGACTTCGGTTGCCATTGTCCTTTATTGCTGTGGGGTGTGCTCAGGGCCTGGCTGACTGGATGTTCTTTGTGCTTCACGTATTTATACTGGTGGGCATCATATGGCCAATGCTTTGTACATTGTCTCAGAAATTCTGTGGACTAAATGTAATACGGGAAGTGATGGGTTTCTTTGGGTAGATGTGAGACTGGGGGTGATTTGTGCTTTTAATTAGTCTTCTCAGTTTAGGAAATAGGCAATGGTGACACTATATAAGTTTCTCAGAAAAGACAGCCATTTGAGTTCAAAGGATAGAACTTGTCTTTAGTAGATAAGTGTGTGATACCTTATTCTTCCTTTAAAAAAATTTTACCAAAAATAGGGCTAGGTATGGTGGTGTGTGGTGTGGTTCCAACACTCAGGTGTGGTGGTGTGAGGTGTGGTCCCAACACTCAGGTATGGTGGTGTGTGCCTGTGGTCCCAACACTCAGGTATGGTGGTGTGAGGTGTGGTCCCAACACTCAGGTATGGTGGTATGTGCCCGTGGTCCCAACACTCAGGAGGCTGAAGTAAGAGGGTCTTGAGTTTGAGGCCAGCCTGGAAAACATAGGAAGATAAGATCCTGTCTCAGAAAACCACAAAAATAATGCATGCTTTTATAGTAAACTCAATGTAATATCAAACTTTTAAAAAAAGAAAACTATTGCTTACTCTCTCTTTCCACTACCCAGAGCAGTTATGCCTATAGCTTAATGTAGATCTCTTTAAATGTCTAAGACTATACAAATGTGTCATATTTTAAATAGGATGGTATTACATGTATCCTGTATCTATCCACATTGTATAATTATCTCTACTTTGTTTCTTTTAAATAGCAATTAGACTTAGTCTGGTTCTGACTTAATACCATCCATTTCATCGTCCCCCTAGAAAACTTTTTAGAGAAAACCTATTTAAAACTGTCAGATCCTGACCAGCACCCACTCGATTCCCCTTTCTAGTGCCTTGAGTGTTTCTGCATGTTTACACCCATCCCTCTCCGGGCGGTTCCCTGCTCTGCCCTCCACGGAATTGGGTTCCAAGGGCTGTTCCAGTCAACTTCACTGAGGGCCCTGCCCTGAGGCCCTGGGTCTAGGCTCCATTAACCTAAATGTATCTCCTTAGCATTAATCTGGGAACTGGCCGCTGCCAGACCCCTCATGCCCTCGTCCCAGATCCGGGTCCTCCAGTGTTAAACACTTCCTTGCTTTTTTCACATGTTTTATGGAATTGTTCACATGGTTTGAAATAATAAAATGTAGAAAGAAAAAAAATGGTTCCGAACCATTTGCTATTAAAAATACTATGAAATGGAACGTTGTCATGAGCCAGTCATTTTGAAGAATGGACACTTGGAGATACTGGTAGGTGCAGGCACATCACCTTTCCAAATGACTGTCCCTGCTCTTGCAGTAGTCTGAGAAAGTTCCATTTTCTCAGATTCTCCAAGAATTAAATATCTTTCAAATTAATGCTCCTCTGGTTAATACAGGCTGAACCCCAGTAATCATTGACCATTTGTGTCTGGTCTTTCTGAATTGTGTGTTCATGTTCTACACCCATTATTCTTTTTTAATATATATTTTATTATTTTTATTTTATGTGTGAGTGTATTGCCTGCAGGTGTGTAAGTGCACCCATGTCGTGCAGTGCCTACAGAGATCAGAAGCAGGCGTTGGATGCCCTGGAACTGGAGTTACGGATGGTTCTTAGCCACCATGTGGGTGCTGGGAATCGAACCTAGGTCATCAAAAAGCAGCCAGTGTTCTTAACTGCTGAGCCATCTTTCCAGCCCCTGCATCCATTATTCTATCAGGATATTTCTCTTTAACTATTGTTTTTGAAACAGGGTCTCACTATATAGCCCTGGCTGGCCTGGAACTCCCGATGAAGAGCAAGCTGACCTACAATTCAATAAGATTTACCTGCCTCAGCCTCCCAAGTGCTGGGATTACAAGTGTGTGCCACTGTACCTGGCTAGGATGTTCCTTTTCTTTTTTTAAAAAAAAATCTTATTTGTTTATTTTTTGGTCTTTTTAAGACAAGGCCTCCCTGTAGCTGCAGCTGGCCTGGATTCGCTAATGGAAACCAAGCTGGCCTCCAACTCACACAGATCTGCCTGCCTCTGCCTCCCAAGTGCTGGGATTAAAGGCGTGCGCCACCATGCCCAGCTTTTATTATTTTTATTTTATGTGTATGAGTGTATGGCCTGCATGTGTGTAAGTACACCCTTGAATCCCCTGCATGTGGAGTTATGGATGGTTGTTAGCTGCCATGTGGGTGCTGGGAATTGAATCTAGGTCCCCTGCAAGAGCAGCCAGTGCTCTTAACCACTGAGCCATTTCTCCAGGCCCAGATATTTCTCTTCAAATGGATCTTCAAGACACCCCACCCCTATGGTGAGGACTGAACTCAAGGTTCTGCACTTGGCTAGGTCCATTGAGCTAAACAACCCCTGAAGAACTCTTAATGTATTAAGAATGCTAACTCTAGCTGGGTGTGGTGGTGCAGGCCTTTAGTCCCAGCACTTGGGAGGCAGAGACAGGTAGATATCTTTGAGTTCAATGCCAGCCTGGTCTAAATAGTGAATTTTAGGTCAGCTGGGGCTACAGGGAGACCCTGTCTCAAAAGAGACCAAAAAATAAAGTGTTAACTCTTTGTCATCATGAGGACATTCCTTCTGTTCTGACGTACATTTCTTCATACTGCTTATCTTTCTACTATATAAAAATTTTTGGCAGGGGGCTGGAGAGATGGTTTAGCAGTTAAGAGCACTTGCTGCTCTTGCAAAGGACTGGGATTTGGTTCTCAGCACCCACATGGTGGCTCACAACCTTCTATAACCCAGTTCCAGGGGATCTGACGCCCTCCTCTGGCCTCTACAGGCACTGCATGCATGTGGCAGACATACATAGAAAACACTCACACACTAGAATAAAAATAAATCTTTTTTAAAAATCTCAGACAGCCCAGCAAGATGGCTCAGTGCATTAAACGTGCTTAGGGCCAAGCCTGATGATGACCTGAATTCCATCTCCAAAACCCACATAGTGGAAGGAAAGAACCAACTTTTGCAAGTTGTCCTCTGACCTTCCCAACATGCATGCCATAGCATACACATGCAACACAAACACAGTTAATTTTAAAAATTCTGTTAGTATTTTTTTGCTTTTAGAAAGTCCTTTCCTGCCAGGCGTGGTGGCACACACTTTTAATCCTAGCACTTCGGAGGCAGAGGCAGGCGGATCTCTGTGAGTTCAAGGCCAGCGTGGTCTACATAGTGAGTTCCAGGACAGCTGGGGCTATGGGGAGACCCTGTCTCAAAAAGAACAAAAAAAAAGAAAAGAAAAGAAAGTCCTTTCCTACCCGTAAGAACCAGTCAGTACTCACTTTAATTTTCTCTCAAAAGATTGATACATAGTTAATACACTAAAAAATTTGTCCCACATTTTTCTTTTTTAGTTTTTAAAATTGTCTATTATATTTATTTATTTGTGAGTATGTATATGCATATGGATATACCACAGCATGTGTGTGGAGAGCAGAGGACAACTTACAGGATTGGTCCTCTCCTTCCACCATGTGGATCTCAGGGATTGAACTCTGGTCATTAAGCTTGGTTACATGTGCCTTAACCCACTGATCCATCTCTCCAGCCCTTAATTAGTTTTTTAACTTGGCAAATAAAGTTTTGGATTCATTATTTTCTTTTTTTTAATATTTTTATTTCATGTGTATACGTGTATTGCCTGCATGTAGTAAGTGCACCCGTGTCGTACAATGCCTGTGGAGGTCAGAAGAGGCTGTCGGATCCCCTGGGACTAGAGTTACGGACAGTTGTTAGCTGCCATGTGGGTGCTGGAATTTGAACCCGGGTCTTCTGCAAGACAAATC